TGTATCTTGGAAAATCAGAAATGTGATTTTGTCACGAGAGGCAAACTATGCATACTTCTGGAAAAAATAGTCTTATATGCAGCAAACTATTAATACAAACTTGTATTAATATTTTTTGAAGAATTTATGCCAAAACTGTAGTTACCTGTATGCCACCATTTCACATTCTGGTGTAGGCCAATTCAAAATGGCAGAATGCTATAAAACAAAGAAAGAACTGTTATTGTAAAGGTTTACAAAGTAACTCAGAGAAAAGGAGAAAATATTTTTCAGTCACATTCTATACCAGTTCATCAAGGAGTGAGGCTCTCTGGTTGCGACTTAATGTCCAAGCTTGTTCTCCTCGGGATATTAAATGAGCAATAATTCCAGCTGCAAAGTAACTGACTTCCACCTCAACACTGTGCAACAACTTGCTGATATGGTCTATGAAGTCTTCCCACATTAGCTCAGAATGGAGTTCTTTAACCTCTGCAATATTGTTCTAAGTAAAATAAAAAGAGAGAGAGAGAGAGGAAGAAATTTTAGAACAAACGGTCATAACTAATTAAGCTGCTTTTCCAGATGTTTTTTAAAAACTACTACTGCGGACATGGCTTTTAACTTTCTTTCCTACTTTGTAGAACAGTTTTCTCAATGTATGAGTCATTAGACTGGGCATGCAGATTGAATTCCAATCTACTGTATTGCATTTTGAGGACAATGGGTTGGAGAAGACTGTCCTCGAAGCTGCCCGGATACTGATGGAAATAGGATGCTAGTCTAGATTAATCTATTGATTGAGTCAACAGAGTTGTGTTCTAATGCTAACCCTTAAACTGAAATAAATAGAGATTGTGAAGGAACAGGGTTGGTCTGACTGGACCCAAAGTTAATAGATTAGAATTAAAAACAATGTATTCCAGGTACAGTAGTGAAGAATGTTAGAGCACAAAAGAACATAATAGGAAAAACAAACATTGCCAACATCCAGGTTTAAAAAATACTATTCTTTTCATCTTACCAAAAGACCAAGAACTTTCTGCTGGATAGAAGACTCTGAAGGAAAAGACTGTAAATTAAAAGAATAGACAACCATTAGTAAGTGATAATATTTGCTAATATTGGATAACAAGCAGATTACATTCCCAGAGAAGTCTACAAAATTAAATAATTATGTTGGTAGTACAGCATCAACTTTCAGTTACTGCTATCCAAAGCAGGAGGACTGAGTCAGAGGAGGTATACGAAAGGACTTTTTAATTCTTTAAACAAGAGGCAGGACACATTGTTTTGTGAGTTGAGATGAGAGAAGAGTCAAGATTTCTATGGACAATCTTAGTTAAAGGTAGTTCTCGACTTACAACAGTTCATTTAGTGACCATTCGAAGTTACAACAGCAATGAAAGAAGTGACTAATGACCAGTGGTGGATTCCGGATTCCGTTCCATTGGAACGGGCTCAGCATCGTCCAAATGGATGCGTACAGTGCATGCGCACATGCGTGCAGGGTGCGTGTGCGTTGTACTGTCCAGCGATGACTCCACGATGCTCCAGTGTCATACAGGCGCTGTATGCGCCATGCGTGTGCGCGGAAGCGCCAAAGGCTTTAAAGACCGGTAAGGAGTGTGGGCGGGTCCTCCGGAGCACCATACCGGAACGGTACCCGGTGCTCCAGGCATGCTCCGGTATGCCTGTACCAGGGCGTACCACCTGCAACCCACCACTGCTAATGACCCTTTTTCACTCTTATGACTATTGCAGCATCCCATGGTCACATGATCAAAATTCAGATGCTTGGCAACTGATTCATATTTATGACAGTTGCATGTTCTGGAGTCATGTGAACATCTTTTGCAACCTTCTGAAAAGCTGGATTCGCTTGACAACCCTGTTCCTAATATAACAACTGCAGCGATTCACTGAACAATTGTGCCAAGAAAGGTCGTAAAATGGGACAAAATTCACTTAACAACTGTCTCGCTTGGCAACAGAAATTTTGGGCTCAGTTGTGGTCATATGTCAGGTACCACCTGTAATTGGTTTGAGGACTGCTGCTTGTGAAAATAAGAAGCCTATCACAAATATACAGCATGACTTCAAAATGACAAAGTTCATTGTCTCCATAAGGAAACTGAAGTAAACAGATACAATAATAGCTATACAGATGTTGGCATATAACTTTTAGCTCCCACCTCCAAAACTTTCATGAAGAGTTCCAGCCCTTGATTTTCAATAAAGTGCCGACACGTGGTTGGAGACTCATCAGTGAGATTCCAAAGTGCACTCAGTGTAAACTTAAGTGTAGTGTCCACTACGTTCTGATTTGTTTTCTGCTTCACAATTTGAAGAAGTTGCTGGGGTGGGGGGAGGAAGGAATAAAGCAATTGATATTGTTAAGTCACTCTTTTCAAATCTCAGACATTTAATGGCATAAGAGTCACAATGAGAAAATTTCTTTAAACCCACTTCTGTCATAGTCTAAAAATAGTGTTCTTAAAACTTGGCAAATGAAAATCACGTGGACTGTAACCCATGCTGGGGAATTCCGAGAGTCAGGTTTGAAAAACATTGGCATAAAAAATGAAAGGTTCCTTTCCTTTCATTTTTCAAGTAAAGGTGCAGGGGTGCTCATTTCTCTTCCATATACATTATATATTGCCATAAGATTTCTCCCAATGTTACTTTTCTCCCAACCAGACTTTCAGCGGGTATCAAAATCCTGTGTGCTCAAAGGACAATGTCAGCAAAACACTGGACAAAAAGATATGGAGAAAAACTCTCCAGTTTTT